TACTTTACTGGAAAAATGAAAAGGGTTAGATTTTTATTTTGTTTTTAACTATTAATTAAGTAATTTGAAATCGAAAAAATGGCTGAAAATAGAAGAAGGTTGTTGTATGAGTTTGAAAATGGGGTGTATAATATGTGAAACTCTAGTACAGGGACTTCGATCTTTTTAGGCAGTGGGCCACCTATTATTTTTTTTTTTTTAACTTGTAAGCCGCATTTGTGATTAAAAAAAATATATTAAATGATTAAAAATGTTCCTAACGACAACGAGGGTTGCAGGGGTGAAGACTCCTGATTCAGAAGATTATTTAACGTTTGAAACACTCAGGAAGTGAATAAGAAATAAAGAAAGAAACCGTAGCAGATTATTCGGTCGTTTCAATTTGCTTATGACGAAAAGTGACTAGAGTGTAATGAATGACAAAAAAAGTGGTCCGTTATTCTGAGGTTAAGATGATGCCTCTGCCCGTTATTATACACGTTGATTGATTTGCAGCCTGCCGTGTAATTAAATTAGTCAGTCACGGACTAACGAGTAACGGATTCATTTGCTGTATATAGTTTTTTTCATCATTTAGACTGTTTTCAATTTTTTACACCTTGTTTAAAAACCGTGATGAAACTCAAAGGTAGATATTCTTACTACTTATACGTAATATATACGTACATTCATAATTTATATATACGATATACCTGTATAACTTAATACAATTATGGTAAAAATATTATTAATTTATTATACTATAAATTATATTATGTAATATGTATACAGTATACACTATACATTCATAATAGCTCCCTTTTTTATACCCTACGCCTACGGCCTAATGTGTACAAATAAAACGCAAAACGAAAAAAGAATAAGATATGATTTCTGCAGCATAGGCGCAATATTAGGAGACTTGGAGGGGCTTAGGCGCTCAATCGTTCCAATATTAAAATTGTTCCCTCCAAAAATGTGTATTTTAATTGAAGTATTAAATCTTTCATTAGTTATCTAATCTACATAATTCAGTAAACATTTTTTGAAGAAATTATTTTCTAAAGTTTAAACAACGATTCATGATTCGTGTGTTTTCCAATTTTCCATAGTGGATATGGGATCCACCCACAGAACATAATATCTTCGTGTCTGTCCGTCTGCCCTTTAATTACCGCAGTAAATAGTTACCATTATTGTTGTGTTAAGATATATTAATTGTATACTAATTGTCTGCAGTTACAATTGTGTGTATACTTACGTATACTTACTTATTAAGTTTTTATAGCTTTCTATTCAAAGTAAATGCATAGTAGCCAATATTAAACAAATAATATGTACCAAAATATAAAGGTTATCAAATTATTTTTTAATTGTACATTGGTTAGAAATACGCATGGAAATATGGAATTATAGCTCAATGGGTTGTTTTGGAATACGTTCAGAAACAGTGAATTTAGAACTCTTACTGTAGGGTGAACCTACCCAACCTGTTTAATTCCTTTGCGCAAATCGTGTTTGAAAGTCGCGGTGATTTCGCCAGGCGATTCAGTTCAATGCCGAACATGCGGTGCAGACGGCTTCTGCAGGTGATGCATCACCTCGATGCAGGAACCGGTGTCGATCGATTCACCGTCTGCCGGCGATTCGATGAAAACGGTTTCGGTCGAGCCGCTAAGTGGCCCCAACGAAATGACCGTGCCAAATTATGCCAGTCCAAAGTTCCGTTATTACATTTCGTCGGTGAACATGGCAATAATGACGCCCGTGGTTGCCACCGAAGTCAAGACCGAGACGCTGCCCGTCTCGTCACCGCTGCATGTTCGGTCCGTCGAAGCGACCGTGCAGCAGTGAAGCCGGGTGATTGTAAACTCTCCCGATGGTAAACTTTCCCGGGTCTACTCCAATACTACCCGACGGGAACATGTAAGCTTTCCCGGGTCTACTTCAGTACTATCAGACGAGAACATGTAAACTCTCCCGGGTCCACAATACTTCAGTACTACTAAGCTAGGCGAGCATGGGGCATTATTCGTATTACGCAGTTGGTAAGGTTGAAAAACTGGGCGATTGTAAAATCTCCCGATGGTAAACTCTCCCGGGTCTACTCCAGTACTACCTGATGAAAACGTGTAAACTCTCCCGGGTCTAGTTTAGTACTACCTGAAGAGAACATGTAAACTCTCCCGGGTCTAGTAAAAATCATAAAATAAATTTAATATACATTTAAGTTGTGTTTAAAAATAGTCAATCATATATAATAATAATAATAATAATAACAATATAAATTAATGTCTTTAGCTGCTATGAACATGATATTATAATCAAAATACAATAAAAAATAAAATTTCAAAAAATCCAATATACATTTAAGTTTCTATTAAAAATAGTCAATCACAATCTCTGCAGTGTAGCCAACTCGTAGTGTAGCAATAACATTTAAAACAACTCGGGAGAGCTTACATACTTCCTACAGGTAACTATAAAGTTGACCCGGGAGAGTTTACACATTTACTTCAGGTAAACATAATTTTGACCCGGGAGAGTTTACACATTTACTTCAGGTAAACATAATATTAACCCGGGAGAGTTTACCATCGGGAGAGTTTACCATAAAATCGGGAGAGTTTACCACCGCCCGAAAAACTTGGCTTAGCTATTATAGTCAATATCGTTTTAAATATTTGAATTAAACATAGGTTGACGGTAATACCTACAATTGATAATAAATATTTAAAATTATAATCACAATCTCTGCAGTGAAACCAATTCATAGTGTAGCAATAACACTTAAACCTTAAACGCAGATTCCACCAGTTAATCTAGCATTCTAGCAGATTTAAAATATAAAATCGTGGTCGCGTGTAATAACCTTACTGAAAATCAAATAATGTCAGCAACTACAATACATATAGGATGTCTAATGTCTACAACGTTTCCAATCAGAGCGGACGGAAGGTTTTGCGGGGCCCGTGGCAAATATTTTTTATGTGACAAAAAAACTCTTTTTCGTGAGGCAAAACAAAAATTTACTGGCACGTCCTAGTACTTAGCTAGAAGAATTTTTTAAATATTTATTAAAATAAAATATGTACAAATTAAATGTTCAGGTAGATTAATTATACTAAATACAGGTGTTACACAACAATTTAAAAAAAATTCAAGATTTGAACATCAAAATTGTTTTGGACGTCGTCTTCGATCGCTGGCATTATAATTTATTTTTACTCTCACTCGTTAACATAGGTATTCCAATTATTATATTAAAAAACCACAAGCTGCCACTGCAGACCGGACTTGTATTTTTAATTTGAAAAACAAAATTATAGGCTTAAAAACCATCAAATGCCATGAAAAGCGCATGGCCCCTAAAATGAAGAGGCCCTGGACAGCTGCCCTTTCTGCCTTGCCCTTCCATCGGCCCTGTTTTCAATTATGCATCAACAATCATGGGGCAAACTGTGAACAATTTATTTAATTCATTGTGTAATTATAAAATCACTGTTGTCTGCTGTAATTGATTTTTTATAAATCATGTTATACCCATATTGTGTTAATCTTGTTTATAACATTTAAAAATATTCAAAAAGTAACCAATAATAAATAATAATACATTTTTTTATACATTTAATGAATCGTAAAAATGTATTATTTATTAAAATTTAAATGACTCTTATTCAGTCAATATTTATACTGACAATAATATAGTTAATAGGTCATAATGACTTTTAAAAATCAGTCTATCCGAATTTGGTATCGAAAATACCGGTTGCCGTTTAAAAAAAAATGCAATTTATATTGAGAATACGCGTACTGAGAGTTAAAAATTTGAAATTTATTCCAATATAATCCGGTCCAGAAATTCAGTGTTCATTAAATTGGAGAACACGCAGTATGTAAATACCTAAATGGTAGCAATTTATTTTAATAATCTAAAAATATTTTTAATTTTAGCAATAGGTAGATGTATTATAATATATTAAATGTAGGACATTTGGTGAGAAAAAAAAAGATATGTATGTTTTGTTATATTATATTACATCGAGTAATGCATTTAAAAAGTATTTTAACAGGGAGGGGTGCTGGGGGTAGAGACTCCATTGATCTGTTTCATTTAAATATGTAACCCCCATATAATACAATCCCCTCTATGTCAAAAACTGAAATTGCGGCACATGAGCTCCAGGAAACATTACATATTTATATTCATACTTATGCAGAATTCTGTATTACTGTTTCAAGTTTATAGTCTATAAACCTGTCAGAAGAATTTCAAATTTTATAAATAGCTCAAAATATTTAGAAAACTTTATAATGTGCAGGAAATGATTATGTAAATATTTGGTGAAAATATCAAGTATCTACAGTTTTGTTTATGAGGTACCAAAAAAACAATGAATTTTGTTGAAAATTAGTTTTGTGTACAATTCCAGTTTTTTAAGTTTTTTTTTAAATTGCTATAGTTTAAAGTTTATTATAAAAATAATAATTATGTCAGTGGATTTATACTTCTATTAACTATTCAAATATAGCTTAAATGCCCTTAATTCATATAAATACAACCTAATTAACAGTAAATAGTTTTTTTAGTGTTCTAGCTATTATTATTACATTCATCACAATCACAGCAGCTTTTTATCTTTTGTTATTTGATTTTCATTATTTTTAATGATGTTAAAATACAAATTGGCAATTGCATTTACACTAATATAGTTCAACTCTTTAGTGGTACATTAAACTATCATTAGTTATAATAAAAGTTAAAACAATCATACAAATTATAGGAATTTAAATGTTCACATATTGTGAGTGTTCAGTAGACATTGGTCATTATACATTAATATATTAGCAATTGGTTACATTTTAATAGAAAAGCTAATATAGATTATAATATATAACAAATATACTCATATTAATATAATTATAAAAACTATTTCTTAGTTGGATTGTTAATTTGTAATTTGTTATTTAAAGATGATCAGCACTTCATTTGTTTAAAAGGTCAATAATTAGGAATAGAATAATTTATATGGCATTTAATTGGTATTCATTGATTTGTGTGTACACATAATAAAAAATAAATAAATATTTCACAATAATGATTAAAAATATAATAAATGAATAATAATTTAACTAATAATAATTTTAGATCCTTATAGAAATGCTTACAAATATTACGGTTATTACATAAATATTTCTACCACTCAAAAACATTTTATTTGAAAATCAGATATAAAAAAAAAATACATATTATTTTTGTTTAGTCGTTTTTTTATATAATTAAATGTCCGTTACAAATCATGACGTGTTCCTAATAGTTCTACCATATACTATGTACTACTATGTAAGTCTAAAAGACAAATGGATACACACTAACTTTTTTAATCACAATTATATAAGGGCGTGGCAACTCTAGATATGGTAAATGAGTAATAATAGGTAATAAAAAAAGATGCTTACAGAACTAACAGATTATAAGATGAATAGTTAATTTAAAATATAAACTTAAAATATTGTAATCCTTATATATTAAGACTTAGATCAGTTTTATGAAATAGAAAGCACCAATGATTATTGGTAGTACTCCAACAACAAGCGTATCTGATCCACTAGGAATAGTCTTGCATTCTTCGGGTTGCAACTCATCAGGAATTTGTTTACATACGGCATTCATGAAAGGTACTGCTGATGAGAAGTCTTCAGTAGAATTCTTGTGTATAAAATAAACCACATTAGAGACAATAGTACAAATTGTAATAACAGTATATATTTTTTTAATTTAAATTTACCTTGTTGAATACAACTTTGGGCACGGATATCACATGGGCAGCAGCAGATTTGTTCACATACTCTTGCAACCATGGATTAGCATCTGTATTATTGGCGCAATCAGTGATTTCAGTAATGACGGCACTATCAATGTTACTGTTTTTGACACACTATAATTTTTTTTTAAATAGTTGAGTTAATGTCTAATAAGTAATAATACAGTCAAACAAATTGGTTTCATTTGTTTCAATATAAAAATATACTGATGAAAGCAAATACAGAACAATATTACTTCAGTAAGCTATGGCTTTTTTGTACCATTTAAAAAAGAAGCAAAAACACACAATATAGAACGGTTTTGGTATAGATATCAGATATTAAATAAATACTAGTACTAATAGGTTAAGACTTAGCAATATTAACCAAATTTTCAAAAAATCAATGTAGTTCAAAATAGGTACATAAACTACTTAAAATGAAATTATGAATTATTAGAAACCAATTATTTAATTATACAAATGCATATACCAAGCCAATTGGTACAGTTTTATTTGGACTATTGTATCCTTCAGTCAGGGAACAATTCACAAATTTGATTAGCTGTTCGTTGTTTTTGATTTTATGAATACCACAAGCGTGCACTCTATCAGCAGCGCACTCTCCTTCACGCTTACAAGTGAAATTTAAAGATTTGTCAGGGTTAGTGGTGATCTGAAAACAACAAGAACATTGTATTATATCAACAACATTTAGAACACAAATTAGTAAACTAGTTATTGTTTTTTTTTTAACTTACATTTCCTTGAGCAAAAGGAATAAATGTCACATTGATGAACTTGCCTAGCTTATTAAATGTAGGTAATAACTGGTTTGAGACAAACTTAACGCTGTCCGAGCATAATGCTTCGTAGTACACTTCAATTTCTACAATATGAGTCTGAAATAAAAATTTTAGTCAATTACATTTAAATAAATTATATTATTATACGATAGCAAAAACATAAAAATAAAATAAGTACACAATAATCAATAGATGCTTAATATTCCCTATAAATAGCGGTTAAACAAACTGTATAGGTCATTGGTACATAATAATAAAATAATGAATATTAATAATAACCAATACAATATTAATTATATTAGGAACATATATTTATCAGATTTAAATGAAACTATAGCCAATACTTAGATTTTTTCATAACAAAAGATTGATAATATCTGCATCCTTCATAAAGAAACAATAAAATAATACCTATAGTTCGATAGTTGATTGTATAACTCATAACATTATTTTATATTATATTTTCTAGATGCACAAAACTTTAATGTTACATCATGCATTCGATAATTCAAGTAATAGCTACGACGGGATTTTTGTTTTATTAAAAAATTGAAATTAAAAATATTGTACGTGTTGTTACTGGTTAAATTTCAAACACGAATACACGCAGCTTTATTGTAAAACAATGATCATCGTAAACAAGTGCGCCAAATGCGTGTCTATTGTGCACCAGAAACAAATTAACTCTGTCGGTATTTAACTCGAAAACATTGTAATTACCTGCGGTAATATTAAGAACACAATATAAAAACATAATACGGTTAGATATTATATAAATATGTTTTATACTTTATTTTGTTTTGTTTTGTTTTATTGTTTATTTAAAAATTATACATTATGAATTATGGTAGGAACAATCGGATGACGGAACTCTCTTACACAAAATATTATTATTCTGTAATATTATAACATTCAAATCAAATCATTTTTTTTTTTTTATACATAAAAATATAACATCAACGAATGACAAATATGGAATATAAACCATATTTCTTGATATTTTAACACATATTTACTGACATGGAGATTAGCTTCACAGTGTCGTATTACACCCAGACTAAAATCATTTGCTATTCATTTTCATTTCGCTGCTTTGCAACTTTAAACAGTAAACACCTAAACAAAACGTTATGGGTGGAATGTTGAAACTAAAAAACTGTGTGTCGTATGTGTAGGAAGGTTGATTATATAGGCACCTATTTATGTATATCTACATTAAAATGTAGGGAGGAGTTATCGGATAATAAAGGTTTTGTTCAATTATTACGATTACAATCCAATCTTCACTCGATTACACCATTATTTACTCCCAGTCTATTGAGCTCGAAAATCATAGAATTATTTTTGGAATAGCATATTTTTCATTGTTCCATATCACAATGAAAAAAAAAGTTCAATGCACTGGACTGTTCAAACATACGAGTCTAATACAAAATTATGGCGGTAGCATTTATCTTGTAGGTAAATCATATTTCAAACAACCATTTATTGTTTGGTGATATTATTTTAACACACATCTTACGCATTTTTGAAACACGATTAGGACAATGACTAAGCTTAAAAAAATATTTATAATGTTTCCAAACATTAATTTAATTTACAAAACGCAACGAGTTCATTAAAGTAGGTGAAAAGTTTACTTGTAATTGATTATTTTAATAAATAATGGTTAGAGTTTGTTAGGTTTATGTCACCAATCCGCTATTAATGAAGGTTTTTTTTTATAATGACCTACTTTAATGAAATTTGTCTAAATAAATGTATAATAAATTATACTTTGCACGAATCGGTGTCGGCAGTTTGTCGCACCTAAAATAACAAGGGTAGTTTTGCGGGACATACACGCTTATAATATGCTTAAGGAGTTATCGCACTTCACGCGTAACGGAACACTTTTATTACGAAACGCGTTTTACCTGTCTCTATAAAATTAAACTTTGGTAAATGATAATCTAAATTATTTGAAAATACAAGGTTCGAGGAGATCAGGGGCCGTTCGATCAGACCACAAAAGTACAAAACAGAGAATATTGCGTTTTTATGGGACCATGGTGCATTCGAGCTACTCATGTTTATGTGATAAAATATGTCTGGATATTATATTATACTGGGTTTGTTCACAATAACAAAATATAATATACAAGTTTATAAAATATTTTTTACACATACAATTTATTTCAATGTAAGATAAACAATATATTATATAAGTAGATGAGTTGACATGTTATAGCCTTATAGGTACTGTAAAATACTTTGCCCAGAGCCTCGTAAAAACCTAGCGCCATCACTGGTATATCGGAAATTCGGAAATCTAGTGCAGTTGGTACTATGCGCATAACAAATCACACATTCTTCAATATTCTCAACACTTTCTCCGTGCGTAGGTAAAACTGGACAACCGTCGAAAATGTTTAGATGAATGTCGTCAAGTGTGGTGGTTTTAATCGGTGGCCGACACCCGCTGGGTATCTGGAGTATCCCGTAGGGTTTTGTAATTTTGTACAACTAAACAAATTCAGTATATTTGACAATTTAAAGACCGCGCCATCTTAGATTGAATCTTGGGTCAAGGAATTCCCAGGGTTGGGTATACTCGTCGTGCTAAAAGACGTGCCTACAACTGTCTTCGTGTTATACCATAATATCCTTTACGGTATAAACTATGCTATTATACCCATATAGATTAGGCGCATATATAATAAATAATATGTAATATCGGTTATCTTATTGGGTGTGTTACAAATGGCGACGATATCACGATAAACCGAAATAACAACAACATAACATGTACCACAAAACAACGACAATGATAGCACCATTCGATCAGCATTCCGTCTAGATTTACCTAAAATCCATATAGGTAGGGCATACATTTGCAGCGAACAATATAGGCGCACACGATTTAACTGACGACAATAGTAAGTGGGCGCGGATAAAAGACATCGGTGGCCCAGACGCGCTTTTGGAATTCCAGATATACTATACGACTACCCCTCCCTTCGACTACACCCCGCTCAACAGTCTGGCCGGGCGGAGAGACCTTATACATACATACAATTTATATGATATATATATAATAGGTGTTTACACATATGTCGTATGCATGCAGTTCTCGTTTTGTTCGTTTACCTCTGTGTAGAAATTCAATAGGGTGAACGTAGTGACGCGCGACAGGAGAGGGGGGCGTGGTGGTGAAGGGTAGTATGGTCCACGGCGGGTGATGAGGGATGGGAGTGGGTGAGTCTCGGTTAAGTTTTTCCCCCCTCACACCGCGTGCATATAATCGGCCGCACGCCCCGTAGACCTGTCTGCGGGGCTGCACAGACTGGTCGGTGGGTTATATGTATAAAGGTATATATATATTATATATATTATAGTGAAGCGGAGGGCCCGCACGCCGTCTGGACCATTTTATTATTCGCGTGCGAAATCTCTCTCCATCTCTCTACACATTACAACCCATTCCCGTCCTCTCCACATCAACCCCTTCTCACTCACCACACAAACCCACAGTTTCCCACCTCTCACCACAGTATCGGCACCGCCGGCTCGCCTATGGCGCACCCCCTTTCCAGAGGCTAGTTACGAGAACCCCGGGGCCCTTAACACGAAACAGACTCGAATTCGAAACAAGCCACTCCTTTACCGGCACAACGTATACTAACACAACATTTTGAAATAACGTATATTATAATGCGACAAGGAAAACGTAATTTTTTACGACTCACTGTATTTCCGTTAGAAATAATAACGATCTCCAAGTATATAATAATATATTATTATAGACTATAGTAGGTATTTTACAGAGTACTTTTTTATTTCACAACTGAAATGAAGAAATATTATATAATTTTAGTACCTTTGTGCATATCTAATGTAGTCAACGCGTTTACTTATCCAAAAATATTCAATTATTATAGCATATTAAAAATATTTATTCATTAATAAACTACTTGCATATTTGAAAACGATTATATGTATTGAACATTTAAGGATTTATAAAAATAAAATATTATATACGTTCATTAAATACACATTAAACAATCACGCAACCCGGCATAAAATTACAATTATAGCATTTATTTGAATTAAAATATAACAACTTATTATTATTTAGTTGCTGTAAATTTTTTAATTTAAATTAAACTGTTATTGCTGTGTAAAGTAGGTTTTACTAATGGAAACTTTTACACTAAAATATTGATGTACTGTTACGCCATGTCGAACTACAAAAGCAAACACGTTGATTTTGCATGGACACATTACTAAGTAAATATTGTCTGTCAATTGTAATTTTTATCATAACTACGCGCAAGTGTTTCTACGATAATAGGATATGTTAGCAGCCGTTGGTCGTATAAATACAATGTGAATAACTATAACATTTCCACTAGGTAATCGTAATACGTAATATTAATAACTCATGTAAAAATGTAAACGTACCTATTAAACAAGTATTCACATTAAAACAGTATCATCTAGGTCTTAGACAAAATTATAATGTGGAAGTGACTGGCTATCGATTATTACCAGCAATGCCACAATAAAAAATAATAATTTATTAATATAGCGATAATTATTTCCTATTACCAACAGAAAAAAGTAGTAACTACTATTATACTAATTAAAGTACTTATTGTACAGACTATTGTATTCAGAAACTAAAAACATTGTAAAAGGCATTTTCGAAATGTCATGTATCCAAGAAGTGAATAAAACATATTTTGTTTAAATAATTAATACACCAAGAATATTTTAATTTAACTACGCATAGTTATAATATGTACCCATTACATTAAAACTTGAAAAAATAGTTATTTTATTAGTTATTACTCACTTATTACTCACTACTTTTTTCAGTTTATATTAGAACGTCGCATGTCAATAAATACAGTTTTGGCAAGAACGATTTTTACATAATATCATCATAACTAATCTATACTAACTGCAATTTTATAAAGCTAGTACTAAATAAATAAATATTATTTTTTATAATTAACGTTACTTAAATACCATTACGGCTCATATTTTTAAAATGTCATAATGTTAGTAGAAAAACAAACACAATTTAATTTTTGTATTTTATCCACATTTGA